TGGAGGTACTGAGACGGCAGGCCAGTAATATCGAACGTACTGGAAAATCGAACTTATCGTTCAATTTCAAATAGGAAACCAAGTGTGATCAAAGAACGAGAGAGACATACCAATAGACACGTCATCGTGAACATCATATTCACCTTTATACATTTCTGTTCAATTCAGTCTCGTTCTTACAGACTGACCATACTACACAATAATAGTCGCTAACTTATATGACTGGTCATCGTTTTGTAGTACAACTCAAATCACATCTTCTCTGTTTCATGTGATAATTTTGAGCATATTCTGGACTTCAGTCTTTCATTCCGTTCATCAATGTGATTGGATTTTAGTGACCTTCCTAACACGAACCTCAATCCTCATGCGTTAATTATTATCGTAATTATTGGCAAGAAAATAAAGTAGACGAGGGTGACATTGAAGAAGAATCGATACAATTCAGTAAAGAAATTTCTCTTAACCTCAATCTTCATCCTTCTCACACTTGATTCCATCTCACAATCACTCTAAAATTCTCCATTATTAAACGACTTTCTTTGACACATGATATGATATTACCATCCTTCTCTATTTTCCAAAGACAATCTCGTTTGTAAGTGAACTACAATTGTACGATCGTACAGCTTGAGTAGATGCTATCTTCAAGGGGATAATCTTCTCCAATGAATTGTATTGCTTCCTCTTCAGCAATCACTTGCACAGGTTTCACTGTAACATGTGGATTGTGAGAGAGGAAGCCTCGTAAACTATCATCATGTTTTGCATGTATGGTGTCAGATGTGATTCGTAAGTGAGAGAACACAGTGACTGAACGAACGTTTGGGTGTGATTTGAAATTAGTCACCATTTGAAAAGTGAAACGGTGTTGATCTTCGATTTTGGATAAAGTGATTGTTCACAACGAGTATTATGTAGGCTGTCAAGTCGAAGGTGTTATGTTAAGCAAATGTTGGGAGTGAAAATTCACCGAACATTGATTTATTGAATGATGAGAAGTGGTTTTCCCCTTATGCTAACATACTCTCGAGAACAGTTGAGCAACATTGTCATACAGCAAAATATACCACAACAATACACGAGAATCATACACCTTCCGATTGATAATTGGGCGTGCTATGAATACAAAGTGAAACCGTCACAACAATGCATGTCTGAAGTGGAGTGCAAGTTGGTTTTCGCCTACTAATACACTGACACATATGCAAAATGACGCATATGTATTCATCGGTCACGCAATGCTGGTGTATATAAATAGGTGAATGTGTTGCAAGATTGTAGGTAGGTGGTTGATTGCAGTGAATACATAGTCATGTTGAACCGATGGACGTTTCCGGTGGTGACACTGTTCATCTGCTGTCTAACATTTGAACGTGTGTCAACCTGGTTGATACGCAGTGGTCAACCTGTGCACCAACGCTCTGAATTCCCATTCATCGCACTTCTAACGACAGGACAATCGATGTGTACTGGCTCACTAGTGTCAACAAGGGCAGTGCTCACAGCTAGTCATTGTGTTTGCACATCGCTGCCAGTCTCTAAGGTAAGAGATCGCACTGAAACACATTTTTGCTCAACGTGATTGAGTAATTGCACACAGAGAGTGTGTTGGTGTGTAATGGGTTTGCATGGATCTAATGTCGATATACTTTGTCTATACTTTGTCAGGTTGCATTTCTCACACTGAGGATCGGAGATCCAAAAGGCGTCCATTACAAACCGTCGGGAGTGAAGGTAGCACCAGAATACATGCCCTTTTGTGAAATGGCACGAAAGGGGAAGCCAGCCAAAACTGCAATCGGTGGAGCCGACATTGCAGTTATAGTGCTCTCACAATCAGTCAACTTACGGGTTGGAATCAAGGTGCTCAGTCTGCCACAGCCAACGGATATACCGACACCTGGAACTGCGGTTTTGATTGTTGGTTATGGAATGGATAGTAACGACCGTGATCCACGACGAAAAGTCGGTGGAATTTTAAAGAAAGGTGAGTGAGTGAGTGAGTTGATGGTGAACAAACAATATGACTCATTCTGTCTGTCTGTCTGTCTGTCTGTCGGATCCGGTTGATGTGTTGACCAGAGCCTCAACAAGTATGTTTGATTCGATCCGTGAGAGTTCACTGAGAGGGTGGATCCATCTCCATCTCAGTCATTGGGGATGTGTGATGGAATTGAATGAGATAGGATTGGATGAGTGGTGATCCATATCTGTGCAAACGATGGAAGTGTGTTGTTGTACATGAAGTAGGTGAACATTCAGTTTCATGTATATGTCGGGAGAGTGGTGAGATGAACAGTGACTTGATTGGCGAATATGGTGCACATATGAGATTGCATGTGAACTATTTGTTGTGTGCATAGTTTGAGGGTAGATAATTTGTGCCAGTTGATATTTTGAAAATTCACATGTCTGTTCTATTGTGTTCTGTTATGTTCTTTGTTTGACACAGGTCGAGCGACTGTAATAGAATGCAAATATCCGACCGGTGGGAATCCTATTTGTGTGAAAGCGAGTCAGAATATGGGACAGTTAGCCGCTCCAGGTGATAGTGGTGGACCTCTCCTTCCATCCCCTCAAGGTCCAATAATCGGTGTCGTATCACAAGGTGTCACACTGCCAAACCATCCCGATGTCATTGTCGAGTATGCCAGTGTGGCTAGAATGTTGGATTTTGTACGCTCCAGTATTTGAACAATATTTGAACAAATCTCGAACTAACTCATATCATTCATACATGTTTGTACATAATCTATCGACAAATCCACATGCGATTGTGTTAAGGCATTTCCGATTAATAAACAACCTAATCAAGTACTACAACATTCCTTTCGTTTTCTGTAAGTTGGGATGTGTGGTGTAGCGTAGTGATGTGTGGTGTGGTGTAATTTGAGTGTGTGTGTGTGTTGATCAGTGAAGTGTTAATGGAACGGGCAGTTAGTTATTTGCTGTTTATCATCAGGGTACTGCTCGATCACGATGCGTCAATGTAAGCATGTCGAGAAAGAGAGAGAGAGAGAGTAGGAAAGTGATGAAGACGGCTCGGTTCATGTGACAGTCATTCAGTCAGTTAGTCAGTCAGTGAGCGTAGCAACGAAACAGATTACAGAAATTAACTGTGTCATCATCATCGTCGTCATTGTCTTAAAACATTAGGCATTTGTTGTTGTTGTTGTTGTTGTGAGAACAGTAGGGTTAATAGATGTGATTATATAATTTGACATTATCTATCTGATCGTGATTGAGAACATCGTCACAAATTGGAAGAAACGCGCGTTAGTTTTCTGTCGTAACATCCGTATCTGTATTGGAGATTTTGTTATTGAGTATTAATTTAACAACTGAATTTGTAGTCGAACATTTTACGACCACTTTTATTATCATCATTATCATCATCAACTTATAAATCAAACAGGGTGTCGTTCAGGAAGATAGTCAATTCTGGGAGGTTTCAAGAGACACTGGACAGTTGTGCACAGTGCGACTCACTTGGTTCTTTTTAAGACTTACCAATCAATGTACACTGAATATCAGATTGAATTCTAATATTGAATTCCGTTAGTCGATTAGATATTGATAGTTCACATTACTACTGAACTCGTATTGTCATTGTAATTGTTCCTCAATAGTACTGGAACACTTTGCATTCTCAATACTGCCTGATTTAGCCTGTTTTTATTATAAAACTAGTGAGCTCTATTTTGACTGATTTTACATTTTAAACAATTTACTGTTGGCTTATTTTTTTATAATAATGCTCCAAGTAATATATTTAGTAAGGGAGTTGGATTATGAACGGATCAATTTTAATCTATCACTGAAACCCTGAAGGCTGTGGACGACCGATTGTTCCTGTTGTGTTACTACTGAACAGTGCAGATGCGTGATCATATGCACCGGGTTCGAAGCCAGAAATATCGGTCTTGTGCAACAAAGCTTAAGTTTTAGATCAGTTATTCGGCTTCCAGTGGTATTCATTTTTAACGCCATCCAATCCACGATATTGAGCGTCCTTTTTTCTTTGTTTTGGATTGGTAGGGTATTTTCATTTAAGAAGAAAATTTCAATAAAAATATGATAACTAGGAATAAGTATCATTTTGACCATTAGATCTGATGATATTCTAATTTTACTAGTTGAATTCTTTAGTCTAATCCATATCGAGTGAAAACAGTTATTCATCCCAACCATTGAATGATTGATTACGCAACTACTCATGAATTAATAGAAGTTAGACATTAACATCATTAGATACTGGTTCAGTGATCTACAGATCAAACATTCTTGCACGTAACCAAAGGTCCTAGGTTCAAATCTCATGTCATACTGCTGAGGAGTATTATACTGAAATGTAATGGTCTTTCAATGTATTCAGGTTTTCCATGGTGGTCCAATTTACATCAACTCATGAAATTCAACTATTAAAACTACTACAATCTCTACCAATCTCCATTCTCATGTACTTATGTATTCTTTGTATCTATGTCTGTGTGTGTGTCAAACTCGTTCACCTATTTGCCTATCTACATTTCATACTGTGAATTTCTATACCAGCTCAATGGTCCGTAGACTAAACGTTCATACACGCGACTGAAGGTTCTAGGTTCGAATCCCATGTACGGGATCATGGATGCTTACTGCTAAGGAGTAACATACTAAGATGTAATGGTCTTTCAATGAATTCAGGTTTTCCATGGTGGTCCAATTTACATCAACTCATAAAATTCAACTATTAAAACTACTACAATCTCTACCAATCTCCATTCTCATATCCTTATATACCCATTGTATCTATGCATGTGAGTGTGTATCTGTGTGTGTATGTGTGTGTGTGTGTTAAATTCATTCACCTATCTACCTATCTCCATTTCATTATAGAAACTTTTATATTGAACCTTATGATTGGTTGATTCAGATTTTTCTATTTCTATTTCTAAGATCGAACTTGACTATTTAAATAGTCTATTAGATGAATCTAATTTGAAATTTACTGCCTACATAAAACTAATCAAAATCATGATGATAATCAAATATAAACAGAATCTATTTAACCAATTAAATGATTCTCTTTATAATGAATGAATGAATGAATGAATGTCATGACATGACATCAGATAGATATATATAAATGATTCGTAGACATTCTACAAAGAATTCGTTCAATCTAACGTATCGACGATATTCAACGAAGACAAATTCCATTTATTGATCTATTCGATATAAAAAAAAGGATCTAGAAAATGTCATCAGATCAATTAAAACAATCATTTTTATCATTTTGTAATTTTGTTAAAAAAGGTTCTATTACAGCAACTGATAAAACGATTAAAAAATTATGTACAGATTGTCAAATTTATTCAAAAAATTTAAATACAAATCGTATTGATATTGAATTTCGTGCACATATTGGAAGTACTAAAAGGTAATTTCAAATGTTAGTTTTAATAATTCTATGATAATGATGATTAATCTCCATGAGGTATTTCCTAGAGTTCTATTGTGAAATAGTAACTTGTTGATGATAATGATGGACGATGATGTGATTTCGTGTATTGGTTGAAGTTAGACATGAACACCGTTGAATGCCGGTGGTTTAGATATTGAGCGTCCATGCACGAGACCAATAGATCGTGAGTTAGATCGTAGATGCGCACTATAGATGAGTACCGTACTAGGACGAGATGGCCGTTTAGTGATTTCATGTGTTCTTCGATGGTCTAGCCTCAATTCACTCATGAAATTCAACTATTAAATTATTACAACCTCTACACAAACCTTTTCTCTCTCTCATTATAATCATCATATGCTCACTGGAGTTCTAGTGAGTAGCTGTGAACAGTGGAGTTCAACCGAGTCTGTTATAAGATTGTAACTCACTGATGACAATGTTGGACGGTGATGAAATTTCGTGGACATTAACACTGTTGCGTGGTCTGTAGAGATGGTGGAGAAGATTTGTAGATCAGGTGGATGATTTTGGTAACTTTCATCGTTCTTCTGAACGACATCATCAGCACAAACTTCAAATAGAAGTGTAGACTGTAGTGTAGACTGATAGGTCCTGAGTTCGAATCTTGTGAGACTGGATCGTGGATGCGTACTGCTGAGGAATCCTAAACTAGGATCAAACAGCCATTCAGAGCTTCCAGATTTTCAATGATGGTCTAAATTCAATTGACTCATGATCTCAACTATTAAAATTACTATAATATCCACAAAACCTCTCTCTGCTTTGTATATATATGAACCGGAGGAAATCAATCTGGAAGCCAGTTCAATGCTTCTAGGTTTTCAATTGGTGGTCTAGTTTATGATGACTTATGAATTCAACCATTAAAATTTAAATACAGTGAGAAGAATATGGTTTGTGAAATATCTTGTCCTTCTTATTTTATTTTAATGGTAGGAAGTTTTGAGAATATATTTGTAGTTCAAACTGGTTAGCTCTTTAATCCTTGAATGTCTACAGTAGTGAAGAAGCTTATCGTCTTATCGACGATGCAAATAAATCTTTCCAATAAATGAAATCAATCTGAATTATTCATTGTTTTTTATTGAATAGCCCTTTCTCTATCACTATTTTGTAAATTTCAGACTGGGAGTTAAACGATCTGATTAATCAGTTAGTCATGTAAAGTATCTAACGGTTTTGAGCTTCTTCATCACATGACAGATAGAATTGAACAGGCAATTCACTTTTGATAGTTGAGATGATGAGTCGATTGGAGCTAGACCACCATGGTAAACCTGGGAGCACTGGACGACCGTTTCGTCCTGCTACGGGACTCTTCAGCAGTGCGCACCCACGATCCTGCCTCACGAGATTAGAACCCATTAGATCACTGAGCCGGCATCTAATGGTAATAATGTCCAACTGTCAACACAAAGTATTTTCACAGAAATTACTCCCCCTCTCCCATACACTAGGCTCGTATCTTTCTCCGACAATGAAAAATGGTCACGCAATATCGTAGATTGTTTGAAGTTAGACATTGACACCATTGAACGTTTACTCAATAGTCTAGAGCTTAAACGTTGGCGCGTGATGGAAGGTCGTGCATTGCAATACCGAGTTCAGGATCGTGTGTATGCATTACTGAGGAGTTCCACACTAGAATGATATGACCATCCAATGATTCCAAGTTTTCAGTGGTAGTCTAACATTAATCTATTCATGATCTCAAACATAATTCTTATTGTTTGACATTATTATAAAATTGACATGTTTACTGAACACACTTATTTTGGAAACTTATCATTTCTCAATTTTCCTGTATAAAGTTACATCAGCACACTGATCGTCGTTTTTTACCCGTCTAATATGTGATTTCATTATTTGATGTCTTTGTGCTTGAAATGACCTCGGATCAAGGGTTGTGTACTAAAGCTGAACAACAGAACAGTATAGGAACAGATGGTCCTTTGAATTCTATGAGTACATTATACTCTTAATACTTTATTCTAATTAAGGTTCTTTTGAACAAAGCATCAAGATCATTGAGATTTTAATAACAAAGTAAGAAATAGCCAATGAACTTAACAATTCGGATGAAGATTGTTCAAGGGCTTGATTGAATATTTCTCATGATAACACAGATAAAACACAATATTGGCTACTATGACAATAAGGAATTTGTCCAAAAGTGTTTCTTGTTCGATGAGTAGACCCTCATTTATCGTCTTCCGATGGACAATCCATAATCATCTTCTTTCATCTAATACTATAAATACGTTTAAGTTTACTCACATAAATCTTTTGTTATTAAGGTGAACTCAAATAATTAAAACTTACATGTAAGTTGATGATGATTAAGGTCTCTAGGTGAATGCTGACAATTTCAAGAACTCGACAAGACTATAATTTATGAACGAACCAATCAGATTTAAGAAGACAAGTCTTGGATTTTGGCGCGAAATTCACTCATCTATCTGTCTAGATGGAAACTCTAGATCCTATTCATAAACCTAACTGTACATTGTCAATCATAATTCTAATTCCTCATATTGCTTTATAATCCTCATTTAGTCTTAGTTAAGACCACTAAGGAGTCGTTCATTATATTGACATCCTCATAAAGTCAAGTCGTTGTTTTTGATGGAGTTTTGTTCTCTCCTAATGGGAGACACAACCAAAACAAAGGAGTAAACAATGACAAATTTACGGTCAATAAGAACCAATCAACGTCGAGGTGTATAGAAGAAGCTGTGAAACACATATGGACAAATTCAAACACTTCACTTCTATCTGAAGTTTGTGCTGATGATTTCGTTTAGAAGAACTATGAAAGCTCCACGACGAAACCATCCAGCTCAGAGAACAAAACTCCATCAAAATCATTCACCTGACCTACAAATCTTCTCCACCATCTCAAGTCGTTGTTTTCTCCATTACAACATAATGCATCTGTCTGAATAAATAAAGATGAATATTGTTTATACTAAATATCTATAAGTGTTTCTTTTTTTTATTTACTTACTATTCAGAGACGTTGATTTCCCAGGATTTGTAAGTTTTCTGGAAGGTCGATTAGCAAAAGTTTATGCCGCTGCCAATGGTATAGAACATGAGGATGCAGTAATTGAGCTCAAACGTAAAATAGCTGAAACATCACCAGCGATTCATGGTGGTACTGTAAGTATATTTCATAGTTAAATTTTCATAGATTCTACTATATTATGGCTTAAAGATTATAGTTAATATAATTATAGTCATAAAACGTTCCAATGGTTGAATTCATGAGCCTATGTAAGCTGGACCACCATTGAAAACCTGGAAGCACTGGACGGCCGTTTCGTCCTATTATGGGACTCTTCAAGAGTGCGCACCCACGATCCCGCTCGTGGGATTCGAACCCGCGATCGCTTAACCTACTGGATCACCAAGCCGGCATACAAATTACTATAATATTCACAAAACCTCTTCCTGATTATAATCATGCTGTATTAATTGTTCGAAACTTCGCATTGATGTTTAGAACTGTAATTGCTCAGTCTGTTATTAGCACATGTGCATCCTGTTCAGAGTGCATTGATATTGCCTTAAGTTACAAGTATTATAAGCAAAAATAGATAGTGGAGAGAAGTGGAATCAAGTACATGCGTTTCATTCTATATGGGACTAATCAGCGAACAGTACTAGTTTCGAGTCTCGGAGTGAACATCAACTCTGAGATGTAGGTACATCAGCTGACGAGTCTTAACTAAGACGAAACACATGTCCTAGATTCCACTGTTAACCAACACCCATCTTTACTTATAATAATTCTAAATCTTCTCTTTTGCAATATCTGAATATTATTTTTCCGGCAAATACAAACAAAAATGATCGGTTTTTTGTATTTTTTAAATGATTTACACACTTTCAGAATGAGTAATCAAATAGAGTAGTTGTTATAGTGATGACTTGATCTTAAATCAAATTAAACGGATATCAAACATAGTTGTAGCGACAGATAAGGTCCACTAGTAGAAACTTGTTTTCTATATCCATAAAAGATAAGCTCCCCTTCTCGTCTAGTCGCCTCCATGTGTATCTACCATTTCATCTGCTCTTCTGGAGCAAGATACATTTACCGTAGACAGCACTCGCTTTCAACTCGGATACAAGAACATGTCACAGTTTGGTTCTACAAGTGTGAGAAGAAAGCAGTTAGGAGTTCTATAATTGGTCATCTAATTGACTGTAATCCTTCTTCTAATTCACAGTTTGAATTCATGGTTATATATACAATTCGTTCAAATCTACCTAGATTTCTTCGTATCCAACTCCTAAAAATAGCCTAACCTCTTGCCATCCATGAGTTCAAGCCAGAACTATGCACATAAAAGAAGTACATCTTATCGTTATTGATACTTATGTCTTTCTTCTTCTTATTATTATTACTATTACTGCATGTCTTCCTTTACTTATGTCTCATATTCTCATTATTTTATTCATAATTGCTCATCATATCACTATCTACTTTTTTACAACTCTATGACCTTTAACTATCATAACGAAAACGTTTTATAATAGTTGGATTCATGAGTTAATTGAAGCTAGACTATAATGGAAAACCTCGAAGCACTGGATGACCATTTCGTCTTAGCATGGAACTCCTCAGCAGTATGCATTAGTTATCCCGCCTTCAAAAACTTGAACATCAAACCCAGGACCTATCGGTCTTGCGCGCGAACAGTCAACCACATAGACCACTAAGTCAGCACTTAACGGTGTTAATGTATAACTTAAATCAATCCACGAAATCATTTTAATCATCTTACTACATTCACGTTATAATTCTATTACATCATCTTGTTTATTCCTTGTTCACATCTCCGCACGAAACTAGTACTTTAACAGGACAAAATGATTCTTATATATAAATGAGGGTTATAAAGCAGTTTTTATTTTTTATATTAACACATAGATACTGGTACAAAGAGGCGCCAAATATATATGCGCCACACAAATCTCATTTGATTTGTGTAAGGGCTGTGATACTGTGCGAGTGCCCAAACCAAATCAGGTGGTTTTCTTAAGAGGCCACAACTGGAGCCTTTAACCTAAAGATCTTATCCACAAGGTAGTGGCGCATCGTAAGGAGATACAGTCACATAGTAGCCGGTGATCAACGATCGATTCACACGCCACTCGTTCCTTCAGGATACTGGAGCCCATGTGCACCATTGGTTTAAAATGAGGGTTTTTCAACTTCCTTAGGTGGGCTCTCAAAGTCCACCAACCCGGTTAAAGCGCCGGACATTCGCATTTCGTCCTCTCAATTTCGTAAACAACACCCCCACCACGAGGAATTGAGTAGAACTTCCCTGGCAGAGGCTATATAGGCATGGCTATGTGAGAACATTTTCGAGGGAGAGGGAGGACTCTCTCCACTCTCGGCCGTACCAGGGCATTTGGGGGCGATAATAATAATTGTAGTGAACAAACAGTTGACTGGGGTATAACCATTTAGTTGATTAATATACAATCACATAAGGATTCAGTGAAATGTGTTATTCATATATTAAATATATCCTTTGAATGTCTTCCTCCAATTATCTTTTACATTCTTTATAATCCTTTCAATTCTCTTGTTATTCTCAATATCTTTCTGTTCTTTTCAGTTCAATCTTCGATTTTTTCTTGACAAACATACATACTACTTATATTTGTCAATATAAGTAGCATATAATACTACATCAATCAATAGAAAATTGATTATTTATTGAATTTTCTTTTTCATTTTTTTTTCTTTTTTATAGAAAATTAGCTCTGATCCAACAACATCTAGATTGACAAATGTAAAAACATTTACTGGTTCACATAAAGAACGTTTTGATATAGAAACTGGTAAAGGTTTAGGTAAAGCTGGTCGTGTTGATCCATCACCATGTTTTACTACTAGTGGAATATCAGAGCCAAGAAAATAAACTCAATTGTTTGTTTGTTTTTCCTCTGAAATATCTAATGATTCTCAATTGCATATGTATATATATCTATGAAAAGAGACAAAGTTAAATTCTATTATATTCACTATTTACTCGTCTACCTCCCTCCATTCCTTTCTCTTCCTTCCCTCCTCTCTCTCCCCCTGCTTCCCTCCCTCCCTCCTCTCTCTCTCACATACACACATACGCACATATATATTTACGTGTTCATTTTGTTTCTATATGAGTTTTTATTTTGTTTTATATTCAATATTCATACTTTATAAAAATGTAATTGCATCATATGACTTATATATAAGTGAAATAACTGTGTATACATTAATAAAATGAAGAATTTCTTTCTTTCTTTTTTCTCTTTTTTTTCTTCTTTTTTACTTTATATTATTCTATTAAATGAATAGAATTTTAAGTAAGTAAAGATGGATAGTGATTAATCATGGAATCTAGGAGGTCAATATTAAGTGATGAAGTTTTGATTCTTTGAGTTGAATGATTTGATGGTGAAGTTTTCATCATTCTTTTGAATGACATCATGAGTATAGACTTTAGATAGAAGTGATGATGAGATTAGGACATATATTTAGCATGATCATCAATAATAAGGTGAAGCAGTTACTCACTGAACATAATGGTGGAAGGTGGTTGTTCAATATCGTGGATTGGTTGGAACTAGATGCCGGCTCAGTAGTCTAGAGGTTAAGTGTTGGCACGTGAGATCAGTGTTCCTGCGTTTGAGTCTCACATGCGGATGGTTGGTGAGCAATTCTGAAGAGTCTCATACTAGATCGAAATAGCCGATTAATGCTTCTGGGTTTTGAATATTGATCTCGTTTTAATCAATTCATGAATTCAATCATTAAATAGGGTGATAGCCGCTATCTAGCAAATACATTTTCAGTGGTGATCTAACACCGATTGGTTCATGATCCCAATTAAAAGTCGACGAACTTAAAAACCCTATATTGATAATTATCATGTGTTTGTTGGTGACTGGCTTCGAGAGGGAATTCTCGGAGTTCCAGTAAGAAGCCATGACCAGTGGAGTTCAACCATGTAGGCTATGAAGCAGTTACTCACAGAAGACAATGTAAGATGGTTGAAGTTATACATTAACACCGTTGGATGTCAACTCAGTGCTTTAGAAGTTAAGCATTAGCGCTCGAGACCGAAGGTTGTGAATTCGAATACTGAGTGCAGAATCGTGTATGTACACTTTTGAATCCCATAGTAAGACGGGACAGTTATCTAGTACTTACAGGTTTCCAATGATGGTTTAACATTGATCAGTTCATGATCTAAATTCAATAAATTTCTATTGATCCACCATCTATCAATGTATAAAACCAGGAAAAATCTGTACAAATCAAGCAGGTTTTATTAGAAATCTATACATTGTAAACTACTGATATAATATTTAAGCAATACATAATAAATCAAGACAATTCCACATCTTAACTCCTGATAAATACTATTGTCCAATTACTTACTTACTAACTTACGCCTGTTACTCCTGATGGAGCATAGGTCCCCGACCAGCATTCTCTAACACATTCTGTCCTGGGCCTTCTTTTCTAGTTCCATCCAATCCTTGTTCATCTTTCTCATGTCTATCTCCATTTCCCACCGTAATGTGTTCTTTGGTCTTCCTCTTTTCCTTTGGCCTTGAGGATTCCATGTTAGGGCTTGTCTTATGACTCAGTTGGGAGCTTTTCTCAATGTGTGTCTTATCCACTTCCAGAGCTTTTACCTGATTTCTCCCTCCGCTGAAATCTGGTTTGTTCTTTCCCACAGTTCGTTGTTGCTATTGAGAGAAGAGTGATGCCCCTGTAGTTATCACACTTGCTGAGATCGTCTTTCTTTGGTATTTTGATCAGAAGTCTTTCTTTCTAGTCTGTTGGTACTTGTTTCTCATTCGAAATCTTATTGAAGAGAATACTGTCCAATTAGTTGGCATATTTATTATTATTATAGTGAACATATGGTTATGAATTGATCAAATTGAAAATAAGGTAACAAGTGATCAATAAGATCAGAACAGTATGATCGTTTTATTATGAACAATAATCTGAGAATTCTTGTTATAATAAGAATAACAATAATAATAATAATCTGATTCTAAGATGTTACTAAGCAAGGAATGATAACTACTAATAAAACCCTTCCATAAAGTAGGACAAGATGATATCTGTAATTGAATTGAAATAAAGTATAAATGATAATACATTGTAAAAACATAGAGGTTTCTATAGTTTGGACTTATATTAGATAGTGAATGATATACTATACTCTGTACAATTCATTACTAGAGTCAATTTGATTATTCAATTGAAAACATTGACTAAAACAGGAAAGAAAAACAATGCCCTGATATGGCCGAGGGTGTAGAGTGTCTGCCTTCTCTCTCCAAATGCTCTTATATGGCAACGTGCATACAATCAGTGACAGAGTAGTTTTAATCGCCGCGTTCTCGCGGCATTATTGTTGTTTGCGAAATTGAGAGGATGGAAAGCGAATATCCGACGCTTTAACCATGTTGGTGGACACAGGGAGTCCACCTAGTGGATTTGGAAAACCATGATTCCAAAACAGTGGTGCATATGGGATCCAGGATACTAAGGAAGTAAATAGCGTATGAACCATGAGACTGCATCTCCTGACGTTGCTCCACTGCTTTGTGGATCAGACCTTTAGGTCGAAGACTCGGGGTGTGGCTACTTAAGAAAACCACCTGTTTCTGTTTGAGCACCTGGATAGTATCTCAGCCCTCACAAAGTGTGGTGCGTATATGGTGTCTCATCCGCTGAATCTTGCAGCACCTACTATAACAGTCTAGATTAAAAGGTTAACATGCTTTCAACAGTACTATTTCTCATTGTCCGCTTTTTAGTACACATAACGTTGTTATTATTAATCTTTCGGAAGATAATCAATATTGAAACAACTTTAGGTAAGATGATTGTTGTAGGTATTCCGCAGGGAACCTTGAACCTAGGTTTCATGCTACTTAGCACTCATCAGCAAGGTGTATCTGTAATCTTAAGGGACTTGATACTCCTTGACGGATTCGGTCCAATGTCATCCAGCTTCACAGTTAGTGACGTTACCAATGAGCTATCTAAGCATTCAGTTTTCGTCGTCTTGATTTCATAAACAACATCTTCACCACGAGAAGGCAGTGAATAGAACGTCCCTGTCAATAATTGTATACATATGGCCATGTAAGAGCACTTCTAAATGCACAGTTAACTATCTCTATTCTTACCCATATCAGAGCATTTGAGGGCTACTAATCTATGATGATTCTATTCATTACCAAGATATCTTCTATACAAAACTGTTCAAACTTTATTGAATTTCTAAACTATTAATGATTGGTAAATCATAAGCTTTACTAATAACGAATATGCTTATTCAGCATTTCACATGATATAAAGAAATAATCATTGTTTCTCTTTTATTTCTTTACTATTACATATTATCATTATCTAATATGATTTGATTATGAGTGAATGAATCTTGCTAGTAGGTATACAAGACATGTGATTATTTGAGAAGAAGAAGAACAACAACAACAACAAGAAGAAGAAAAAAATGAAGAAAGAATGATTAGAATACTACTGAATCATATACTTTGAAATTAAATCAATACTCTGAAGTATTTCATTGAAATTTATATGTTCACATCAAAATGGTCTTCATCATTAATATTGGCTTATATATTGTATATAAGTAGTATATTTAAAATAAAGGAATTTTTATCAGAATGGGTTTTGTGGAGATTTTAGAAATTTCACAGATTGAAATCATGAGTCAGTTGAAGCTAGACCACCATTGAAAACCTGGAAGCACTGGACGGCCGTTTCGTCCTAGTATGGGACTCCTCAGCAGTGCGCATCCACGACCCCGCACCACCCGGGGCTCGAACCCAGGACCTACTGGCTTCGCGCGCGAGCACTTAACCATTAGACCACTGAGCCGGCATCCAACGGTGTTAATGTCTAACTTCAACCAATCCACGAAGTTGCGCTACCGTACACCATTGTCCTCAGTGAGTTCCTATCTCACAACAGACCTGGTTGAACTCCACTGGTAACGACTTCTCACTAGAACTTCAGAAGTGTCTCCTGAAGTCAGTCACTAGTGAGCAGGTGATTATTATTATCAGAATGGGTTTTGTGGAGATTTTAGAAATTTTCACAGATTGAAATCATTTTTGTTTAATATCTATGTCAGAGATTTAATGATCTTTATTATTCATATCAGAAGGGTTTTTATGGATATTATAGTAGATTCAATAGTTGTGATCATGAGTCAATTGAAACTAGATTACCATGGAAAACCTGGAAGGTCGTTTCGTCGTAGTATGAGACTCCTCAGTAGTGCGCATCCACGATACCGCCTTGTGAGAATTGAACCAAGGACCCATCAGTGGTAGCTCAGTGGTCTAGTGGCTAGGCGCTCTCACGCGAGACTGATAGATCTTGGGTACGAATCTCACAAGGTGGGATCGTGGATGGTCGCTACCAAAGAGTCCTACAACAGGATGAAACAACCGTCCTGTGCTTCCAGGTTTTCCGTGGTGGTCTAGCTTCACTTGATGCATGATCTCAATTATCGAGATATTTATTATTGCTGAATAATGGATTAATTAATGGTTTTCCCTAAAGAGTGAAATTTATTCAAAACTTATTTTACTTCTGATCAATTAATTTACATTATCACTAATCATGAACTGAGTTTGTGTACTAATCTGACATTTTACTATAATTTCTTACAAAGTTACTTACATCTGTTACTCCTCATGGAGGAGTACAGGCCTCCCATCAGCATTCTTCATCTAAATCTGTCCTCGACAATCTTTTCAACGTGTTTCCAGTTGTTATTCATTCTTTTCATGTTTGTTTCCAATTCCTTGTGTTCTTTGACCTTCCTCTTTTCCGTTAACCTTAAGGATTCCAACTTAAGACTTGCCTCGTGATGTAATTTGATTATTTCCACAGTGTAAATCTGATCCACTTCCAACGTCTTTTCTTGATTTCTTCTTCAGCTTGTATCTGTTTTTTTCTGTCCCACAGTATGTCATCGATGGCATCCAATCATCGGATATTGAATATCTTGCTTAGACAACTGTTTGTAAGTACTTGTACCATTTTGATGATTGTTGTTGTAGTTCTCCACGTTTCAGCTCCCTACAATATAACTAACTGTCTTAATGTTCGTATTGAAGATTGTGACTTTGATATTGTTTGACAGTTGTTTTGACTTTCATATGTTATTCTACTGTAGTAATGCGGCCCTCGCTTTACCAATTTTCACTTTTACTCATGACACCGAGAAATGGAAACA